TAATTTTGGGTGTTCTTAAATGTCCTAGATAGTGATTTTTAGGAACTATGGTGGTGATGGGTATGTCATAGAATTAGGAAGAGTTGGTCTTGAAGGGGTCAAGAAGACTCTTGAACAATTAGGTTTTTCTACTAGTTTTAGATCTATTGTGTGTTTAGTGGAACTCTTAGTTGGATTTGGTTATGGACTAGCAGTAAATCAGTATAAATCTTGGTATTTTTTCTTTTTTCTTTCTCTCTTGCACATTGTTAAAATTGGTTCTTTATACATTCTTGTATTTCTTGTGTTTTGCAATCATAAGTCTTAGTCAATTGGTTAAATAAAATTTACATTTTCAACCTCAGTGAATCTTTGTGAAATATTTTAAAGTTTAACTCCTCTGGAACTCAACAATTTTTTCTTAACATCACTCACATTTTCATCTTTCTTGATAGTGATGTCATTATCTTTCCCCAAACTAAATATCATAATAATATTGTTTCCATATTTGTATTAATTGGTATCAGAACTTCGTCTTTTCTTTGATATTCAATGAGTATTTTATTTTTAGTTTAATTTTTTACTTATGAAACGTATAAGGGTAGTTGTTCCTTGACTCAATACATATTACAAATAATTATTTGTTGATGATTTTGCTACACTGAGGGGGAAGAAAAAAAAGTAAATAGTTTATGGAAACGAAAATGAGAGAAAACAAAATGAAAGAGACTTTGAGAGAAAAAGAAAAAAAAAGAAAAATTTGAGAGAAAAATAAATACAAAAATGAAAGATACAAGAAAAGAGAAAATAAAATAAAAAGTAAGAGATAACTAGAAAGGTAAAAATAAAAATATTTTCTTATTTTATAAATGTTGTTATTCTTTTCATTTGATAATATAAGAAAGGGCTTTTATCATATTTTTCAATAACTCCTAAATCAATATCAATCAACTATTCTTGTATACGAGAATTCCATATTTTGAATGCAAAAACTAATAAAAGGATAATTTTTATCTAAGTATTACTTTTTGTTTTTCTTGAAGGAAAAATATTCTCATGTCAAATGTTCCCGATAATATGATTTAGAGGGATCAATATAATTTTAATTTTTTTTTTTATAATTTTTAATTTTAAATTAAAGAGACTAAAATATCATCAGTACGGGTAGAATAAGATCTTAAGAGAAAATGAGATAGTTCAGAAGTGAAAAATAATGAAAATTAATTAATCACTTAGTGATAATTATTACTATAGTCTATAATTATAATAATTTAGCCTATAAATATATTTTTTGTAATGTAATAAAAAGACTTTGACTTTTGAATAAAATTTGAATTTTATCTTAGAAAAAATTTTATGATATTATAAGTTTATGAACTTATTTTTGATCTTATCAAGATAACTTGTGAGGATGGATTCCATGATTTATCAATCATATCTTTTTTGAATATGACATCACTATTTTTTTTCTAAATTAAATATTAAAATGATCATATTTTCATATTTACATAAACTATATACTTAGTATTAAGATTTTGTTGAATTTAAAATGGTTATGTTATTGGTTTTATTTTTAACTTTCTTTTTTCTTTTTTCAGTGGTTTAATAAGATAAAAAATTATTTATCAAAATAAATCATATTTTAGATAATTAAAAAAAAACTTTGATATTTCAAAATAGGATTTAAAATAGATCACCGAATACAAAACATAAAGAAAAATATATATAATATTAAAATTTTAACCCACTTAAAGAATGACTGAATTTAATTTATATATAATTTTTATATCAACAATTTTACGAGAAATTGTTGTTTCTTTTTACAATACATTTTTTTATTTTGTTAAATGAATTTAAATTGGTTTTGCTATTTATTTTTATTAAATATCACGATTATTTGTGTTTTATATTAATGAATAAGAATAAGAGGTTGTTAAAGTTATTAATATTCTTGATACATTCAGAAAAATAATTTCTTTTATTGACACGTGTGATGTTAAAAGCGACTCATAAATTAGGGCATGTGAGAGTATTATTTGTTTATACTGAAAGAAGAATGATTATTGTTTGAAATTATGGTTTGGGGCTTTTAGTTGTAGAAGTTGGAGTGTTTGAAAAATGTGCCACATAAGTGGGGCCCCCAACTTCCAATTTGACAGTGATTATTAATGCGTCGGTGTGTTTTGCTGTTTGTATCAGACTTTGCATCTGCCCATCATCTCTGCAACGCTGCCAACGCTGCCAACGCAGACATTTGACAAATGGAAGGATGCATTCCCACTCCAAACTCTAGACCATTTTGTTATGACAACGAGTCCTACAACTCTACACTGTTTTTCTTATATTCTGGATCGATGAACGAACATTACACACTACACCGTTAATTTCTGACTACTTATGTTATGGATGACAACTTTATGAATTAATTCATACTTGTAGTCAAAAGAATGATTTGGGTTGTGTAATCGACGCTCTGTAGTGTTTGACCATCTCAAAAAGTTGAGACAGCAACAAAGCAACAGAAACCAGAAAGTAGTCCACCAAAAAAGGGACATAAACCATTTCACACGAGGAAGGACTATGATCCTTGTTCTGAAATCATAACTCGCTTTTGGTTTCAAACAATTGAACTTCTCTTGTCGTGGGGGTGGCACTTCCGGCCTATGCCCAGGACCGGACCTGGAAAGGATGCAAATGATGTCGTATTCCATGTTTTCAGGACATTATCAAGCATCACGACCCTACTTCAACATGATCAGGTGAGGTGGCCACACATTTTCAAAGATATAAATTACAAATCATAATATATTAAAAAGGGTAAAGGATCTTAAAATACTACGTCTCATGTCCAAAATCTATAACCACATATCAACAGTGACGGTTTTTTTTAGGTCAGCATAACTGCTTTTCAAAGTTTTGTTACTTTATATATATAATTTTTATCTCCTATTAAATATATTTATAATTTTATTTTTATTTTTTATATTATTTCATATTTATTAATTATATATTATTTAGTCCAAAAATTATTATTTAAGATTCGATACTTATTTAAATATTGAATCGAAAAATTTACGTACCTTTTAGTTTTATTTTCGTTGAGTTATTATTTTATATATTTGGATTTTATTACAAAATAATTAAAAATACAAATACACTACTCATCTATTCTACACATGACTAACCTGTTCCCGGAAATAAATAAATAAATATATATTATATGTATATTTTTTATTTTGTTAAAATTATTATTAAATATTTAATTTTTTTTATTTTGTTAATCTTATATATTTAAATTCCACCTACTTAAAAAATAAATTACTCCACTAACTTATAATCTTATATATGACACTAAATATGAATTACGATTAAAAAATTTACTTAAGAAAATGTTTCAAGGTAAAAATCTCACAAAAATTCATAAGTCAAAGTTAAAAAATGCCGAGTTAAAAAATTTAAATAAGTCAGCACATGGTTAAATTTTTCTTAGGTAAAAATTTACCTATAAAGAGAGTTTAAAAAAATATTTACTTTTTAAAACTTGTATACACATTAATTTACTCGAAAACTTTAGCTATTCATCACATAATCTAATTTAAATAATTATCATTGAAATCATAATTCAACATAAATTGATTACGAGTATTTAAGAAGAAAAAGTTATAGTTGTAGAAGAAAAAAAAATCATAAGTTCAAACAATAATTTTATCTCCACATCTTTCTATAGCCATAAACTCTTATAACTAATTGTTAGTACAAATCAATATTAGCACATAAAAAAAAAATCAATATTTAGAAAGTGCATGTCCACCTTAACAAAAAACTAACTTTCATATGATTATAATATCAAGTATGTAAGGTTGTCAAATTATGGGTGAAATTGAATCGAATATTTTTGGCACAACCCATTTAATAAGTAATATATAATTCAAATATTAATTAATCATATCATACTACCAACATTTGGTATAAACAGATAAAATAATTTTTTCTTAATATGGTGTGCCAAAAACATTTTATAGTGCAACATAAGAAATACTTAATAACCCTAACAATATATTATTAGACTTTCCCTTCAAAAGAATTATGACATCATAGTAATAAACAAACGACATTTATGACTTCCTAAGTGGTTTTGATACCAATGTTTGACAATACAAACTAGAAATAATTGCAACCAAAAATATCCATCCTAGGAACTATGTAAAAAAGTATAAAGTTATGTTATAGAATATAACTCTTATATCATTATGTAGTTCTGCATCATCTAATCTAGCAATTAAAAATAATATATTTTTTTATTGAATTCATGTAAATATAATTCCTTTCTTATCATGACTAGGAATGAAGATGACAAATTTAAGTATTTTTCAAGAATTAAGTACTAAATTTTTACCCATTTAAAATAATATTCTAAATGCTTGCTAATAGTATATGAAATACTAAAACTTTTTAAGATTTACTTACATTAAATTTTTAACTAAATAAATTTATCTTTACTTTCAAGTATTTGGCTTAGTGAAAAAATAAATCTTTTTCTCCTGTTATTTTGTCATACTTATAAACGAGTCTCATACATTATTAGTCATATCTTAAAAATTATTTATTTTCTTTCTAATATGCAGTATGTTCAACATAAAAAAAACATATATATATATATATATATATATATATATATATATATATTTCATAAACCAGCAATTAAATTTCTGAAAGAAAAACAACATTAAACTAATAATTTATGAAATGTTTTAAATAGGTTGGAGTGAACTCAGCATACCAGGGCGTGGGAATAGCAATATCCTAATGGCCCATTGTACGGGACGGGCTTATCTATTCACGGTGAGTGAGTGAGTCGGTTCGCACTTGCTGACGTACCACCGTTTCCTCTTTTTATTTATTTATTTATTTTAATTATTTTGTCTGCCTTCCTACGGTATATATATATCCACACACCGCACTGAAGGCATTCTGTTAGAAAGGAATTAGATTGAAGACTGGCGAGAGAAAGAAATATCAAGATGGCTCTGCCCAAAGCTAAGGAGATCGTGTCGTCCAATTCCGTTGTCGTTTTCAGGTCTCTCTTGTTTTCCCTGTCATATCGGTTGTGCGAATTTGAACAATGCTGACTCGATCGTTTTTCTTAACCGTGGTTTCTGATTGCGTTTGCAGCAAAACCTATTGCCCTTTCTGCGTCGAAGTGAAGAAGCTTTTCGGCAGCCTTGACGCCAATTACAAGGTCTTCGAGCTCGACACTGAACGTGCGTGCCTTTTCCTTTCTTTTCCTTTTCGCTAAACCTAAACCCCCTTTTTTTGGCCCTGAAATTTAAAAAAAAATTAATGTTCGTAAAGACGTGCACTACTGAGGTTTTTATTTTTTTAAGGAATTCTCCTTTAAGAAGGAAACGTGATTGAGCCTGTTTTCCATTCGTTAATCCCGCATGGTTGTTTGGATTTTGAACACTAAGTTTGTCGCTATTTGTATTTTCTTTTTTCTTGTACTGTATTATGTTTTATTACCTAATTGCTTAGGACAAGTTTTGCTGGATCCAACTTGAATCACACGTATTTGATTTTCTATTGTTAAAAGAGTTGTTGAGGAATGCAGAAAAATGTCTGACATCGGTCAATTCCTCTTGCAACTACAGTGCTTTTGAGAAATTTCCTGCTGGAAAAAGCTTTTGAATGAACATAAAGGCGTGCATCTAAAACTATTTTCAGTGGAAAAACTCTTCGAAGCTCTTCTAGCTTGTATCCAAACAGGCCTTATGTTCATTTTACAAGATGTCATATTCTGTTGTTCATATGGGCTAGCACTAAATTCTCTGTAACATTTTTCTTCTAATATACATGTTTTATTGGTTTGAAATTTAGTATAAATGCAAAAGAGTGGAATAGAGACTGTGATACCGACTTTTCTCAGTCCATGGTTATACTTATGCCACTCCTAGATTGTTAATGAATTGGGGTTTTGAATAATAATATTATACGGTTTAGGCAGGTATTTCGTTAAGGGTGAATTTTAGCATTGTTTGATCCTTTCGATGACAATATTTTCGTATGTGCTTTCAGTATATACATGTGCCTAAACTTCCTCATGTTTAACAGAATTTTTTTATTTTTTCGTAATTGTGCATTAAGGTACGGATATTATATAGGGGGTGTGAAGACTTTTATATGGGTATAAAAAACTCTTAACTTTTATCCCCCACTCATGTTTTATTAAAACTCAATTTTTTTATTTATTCCTTATTGTTTATACGGAATCATAGAATGCCTGAATTGTCTTTGCTGTAGATGCTTGTAAAAATTAGTAAACAGCTGTGTAGGGATTATTTGATCACACGTAATTAGTAAATCTCATACTGTTTTGCTTTAGTCGTGGGAAGCTAATAGCTTTTCGGAAAATGTATGGAATTCAGTTATTGGATTTCCTTCTATTCGTGATTTTGCTCCGTGGTCTCTCCAACAGCTATACTGCTACTTATAACAAAGAGACCAAACTCAGGATTTAAGAACCCATCAGCAAATGGGTTCTATGTGAATCCTGTGTTTTTCTGGGCAAATGGGTTCTAGGGGAATCTTGTGTCTTTCTCATTAGTTCACGAGTGCAGTGGACAGGTCTGTGATTTTGTGTTAATTCAAGTGGTTGGACATTATGCAGCTGATGGAACTGAGATCCAAGCAGCATTACTTCAGTGGACTGGTCAGCGAACTGTGCCAAATGTATTCATTGGTGGAAACCACATTGGTGGCTGTGACGGTAAGACTTAAATATTTTTATAGATCTCCGCAAGTTTCTTAAGATTTAGGTTTCGTTTCATACAGTTACTTAAATTGCTTGTGCTTCTGCGCAGACACAACCAACCTGCACAATCAGGGGAAGCTGGTGCCTCTGCTGACTTCTGCTGGAGCTGTTACCAAATCAACTGCTTAAAGGAACTCGATTTATGGGTTATGTAGTTAATTAGCATCTTGGGTTAGTTGTATTTCCTGTGTGACTTTTTAAATATAACTCTGTCAAACTAGTTCATTGCCGAATGCAATTATTGTTTTCATATATAAAAACACTCTTTTCCAAACAGCTTTCATTTTCATGCATGACAAAGTGTGTGAATGAATAAAAACTAGTTAAAATTTTTCTCTATAGTTTAGATTTACCAAATATGACAAATCTGATAGTGAGATTTTATTATTGTGATCGAATTGTTAAGGAAATAGTCAAAACTTCATTTCAATATATGAAGTTTGACCTGTTTAAACCAATTATGCCTAAGGAGAACGAAAACTACTATATATCCGGTACGTTCAGCAACTAGTCAGGTATGGCAACGGGGCGGAGATCGGGGCAAAACCCGCCCCCGACTTTTTTACAATCCCCGCTCCCAATTTTCGTTGGGGTTAAAAATTAAGTTTCCGTTCCTGTTGGGTTTTGGGTTTTCCGTTCCGTCCCTGATTTATATTATTTTAAAAAGATAATTATATTTGTAATAAATTAATTTTACTATATATTTTTATATAAAAATAAATATTTATAATTTATAATTATTATTAATTAAATATACATTTTAATTTATTATATTTATATTAAAATATTTATATTAAAATATATATGTAAATATAATATTTAATTATTTTTTATTTTTATATATATATCTAATATTTATAATAATAATATTATTATTATTATAATAACATTGTATTCAAATATTTGAATATTTATAATATTATTATTATAATACTCGTATTTAAACATTTGATTATATAATATATATATATATATATATATATATATATATATATATGATTATATATATAAGTTAATTCATTTTTAAGTTGTCATTTAAAAATATGAAATATATAATTTATTAAGAAATATTTAATAAGTTAATTCTTATTTAATTAGTTTGAAGTAATAAAAGTTTAAATTATTAATTTCTTTTAATCCTTTAAAATATAATTATTTTATTAAGATAAAATTTGATATATGATAAATAAGTATAATAAGATAAAAAAATATGACATAATAAAACATAATAAATATAAATTATAAATAAACTAATATTAGTTACTATTAAGATTTATGTAAAATATTTAGAAAAAAGATAAAGAAAAAAAAATTAACCTTGTGTTCATCAAATTGGTTGAAAAGATTGAAAAAAATAAATAAATTGATGGGAGAGATTAAGGAAATGTGAAAAATTGAAAGATAGGAGAGAAAATAATATAATACATTAATTGATATAAAAGATTGAAAAAGATAAAAAAAATTAAAAAGTGGGTAGAAAAAAAATAAAAATTGGTGAAATATAAAAAAATAACCTTATATATAATAGAAAAAGAAAATGAAATACTTTTAAAATATTAATATTTTAAAATTTAAATTTAAATATAAAGTCGGGGACGGGGTCGGGATCGGGGTGGAGATTGCATTACCCATCCCCGTCCCCGTCCCCGATTTTTAAAGCGGAAAAACCCGAACTCGACCCTGGCCCCGATCAACTCGGGTTTTTTCCATTAAACTCTGGACGGGTACGAGTTTAATTCTCATCCTACTAGTTAAAATAAAAATTTCATTCTTGCATCACTTTTTTTCATATAGATGATGGGTACTCTCCTTTTTTTTTTTTTTTACTTTGTTTTTTCATATAAAAGCAGTTGTTTTCACTTTGGTCATTTTGTGTATTTTACTTTAATGGTCACAGCTCAATGTGTTTTTTCTAATTTTACAATACCCGCTTAGAAGATTAAAATAACAACATATTCGATGATATCTAAAAGTTAACCAATAATGAATTTTCCTTGTTCCAAACCAATGGTCTAACCGTGACTATGATCCACGCGGGTCTTATGAAAAGGGTGAATTATAAACAAATTATAATTAAATTAATATTACAATTGTTTGTAACTTATAATTAATAGGCACAAATGCACTGCAAAATTAATAGGCTTTAGGTTTAATTTTTCTTTCAATCTTTAATTACCTATTCTAAAAATACGAATAATTATTATTATTATTATTATTATTATTATTATTATTATTATTTTATAATCTATTGATTAAAATAAAATAAAAATAAATATTTTAATTAATAACTATATAATATACAGATGATTGAACTCATTTTGAAATTTTTAAAGTGAATCTCCCCCTCCCTCTCCCCTCTATCTATATAAGCAATACTTTCAATAAGGGCAGAGTTTGAATATTTTTACAAAGTAGTCAAAAGTTTTAGTAGATAAATTTTGTATATATAGTGATTTATTTAATTTATAATATTTTTATTTGGTTTTTGAAAGTACACAATATATTTTTTTTTATTTTATATTTAAAGTTGGGTTACCAAAGATTTAAATTTATAAAAGACATGTTGATAAGAAAACAACATCAGGCTAGGAATTATGTTGTATTAATAATGAATTATATAAGAGGGGTGTGGATGGGATATTGCTCAGATGCTTAGAAAAAAATAATAATGAATTATACAAGAGGGGTGTGGATGAGATATTATTTTGATGTTTAGGAAAAAAAATTGAAACCTATATAGTTAGATGGAAGTTCATAATAAAATTTGTGGAATGCATATGGTTTCTGAGAAAATGTAATGGGTATTATATCGATAAAGATATTATTGCCCTTCAATTTTAAAAGATTGTATTGAATATATTAAGTCTTATGAGAAATGTCAAAAATTTGGACCGATTTAAAATATACTAGCGAGTAAGCTACAGTCGGTAGTTAAACTTGTCCTTTTAGAGGATGAACAATAAATTTAATTGAACAAGTTTATCCACATTCTAAAAGATATAAATATATTATCGTGATAGTTGATTATTATTTTATTAAGTGGGTAGAAGTTGTACGTTAAAAGATGTTAAACAAAAAGATGTGATTGATTTTATAGATAAACATATTATATATCAATTTGAAATTCCTCGGTTAATATCACTAGATTGAGAGATAGATTTTACTAAAAATAAAATTATGAATTATGCTAAGTTGAGAAATATTAAGTTATTGGCATTGACCCCGCTTAAGCAAATAGCTAACTAGAGGCGATTAATAAAGTATTAATAAATTTAATTAAAAAATATAGTGGAAATAAATCAAAAAGTTGGTATGAAATATTACTTCAAGTATTATGAGTTTATCGAAATTCTCCAAAAGATTCTATAGAAACAACTCCATGTAAATTGGTTTATGCTTATGATGTAGTATTACCTATCGAAATTAATTTATAATTAGTTCAGATTCAAAGGCAAAATGACATACCTAGATCATATTATTGGGATATGATGTTCGAAGAGTTGAATGAATTAGACAAAGTTAGGTTACATGCTTTAGAGCAAATACTACATCAGAAAAATTGGATTGCCAGATCATATAATAAACGAACGAGAAACAAATGCTTTAAAGGTGATGTGGTGTGGAAAGTCATTTTGCCTATGGATAAAATTTCAAAGTGTTTCAGAAAATGGTTTTCGAATTCCAAATTAGGAATGACCCTTTGAGGTTCTTAAAGTTTTATCAAACAACGCTTATGTTACCGTTAATTGTTATAATGGTCAGTCACGTTTATTAATTAACGAAAAGTATTTAAAAATGTTTAAACCATATCATATATGATTTCAAGCAAACAAAAGGAAATAAATCATATTAAAATAAAAACAGATGTAATATAGTCATTCAATAAATAGACACAATTTATACATTATGCTCTGACTAAATGCAATTGATTTTGCAAGATCGTGTCCCAAGTACGTAACACAAAAGCCTGTTGTTATTCTTTGTTAGCAAGGATGACCAAATCATCGTTTTAAGATAAACAACACTCTTGCACAAAGAAGTTAGGCTTGAAGATTTCTACTCAAGAGTGTTGCTAGTCTACAAGAGTCTCTCGATGTTGGTCTTGGAGAATTGAAGCTATTTTGGAGGTCAAGTATTTGTTGTTCAAGGCTTGCACATTTAGCCTTTTCTTCACTCAGGGGAGTAGCATTTGCAAATTTCTCAGGTTTGATAGTCTCGAACTTGGATTTGTTATGATTTAACACCTCAACTTTACTAGCTTAAGCAAACTTCAACTCAACATTTTTTCTGTCCAACGTTACTTATTTCTTCCTTAAAGAGCGGATCTCGTTGAATAGGTTGGTTACCACCAGGACTTCATCCTCAAAATGTGGTGGGAAGTGCTCGGATGAGATATCTTGGATCTTGTCCAAAATCTCTTGAAATTCTCTCTTCTTATTCGGGATCTCGATTGTCACCTTCAAAGGAGTAAAATAAATGAATTGTAGAAATTCATTTACCAAATTGAGCGCATCGAGGTGAAGTGAAGGTGTAGAAGAGGAACTCGTATTAATTGGTTCCACATGAGTCGTAATTAAATCCAAAATACTAAAAGGGTCCTTCTCGACCTCCTCTAAAATGGCAGATAGCTACTGGTCAATACTCAACTGGGAGAATTGATGGATGCTACAATAAACTTACATGGAGTGGTCTCTAGTAGCATAATAGTGGCTCTACTTGGTCAAGAGAATCTGTAAAATATATATCTAAATCAGTAAACATGATGAGAATATGTAGAAAAGTGATATCTAAAGAAGAAATCGAAAATATAAAACGATTTTCAAAACATTAAAAATTATTAGGGACAAAGATCTTGATATTTGAATCGACTAGTGAGGATGATCTATGTACAAAAGAGATTTCATGTAAAGAAACAATAAAACTTAGTATATAGAAAAATAATGATAGAGCAAAGTATAGAATATAAAAGCATATACATACAATAAAACAAGTACCTTAATAGAGGATGGGGTTGGAGGAGTGAGCATTGAAGAAGCCTCAAGTAATGAATCCAAGTTACTTGAAATGTTCGTCGAGGCTACGTTCTATTTCATTATAAAAATAAACATGACAAAGCTAGAGTTGTTCATAAAGAAATACAAAGGAAAAGAAAAGTACCAAGCTCAATAATGGTGGTGGGTTGAATGGAAAAATCCAAAACTAATGGTGTTAATTCCTACATAAACGAAATCAAAATTTAGTTAAACAATTTGTTAAGCAGAACTCTACTGATAAAGAAGAATAATATAAATTAATGTGTGGATAACAGTGGTGAATGACATGACAGAAGGCAATGCATTTGATTTGGATTTTTTTTGAAAAAGTAAGAAAATATATAAAAAAAATAGTAGCATAAAGAAAGTCTCACTAAAAGCTATTAGTCAAGATAAACACATGTTAGACGTGGGTTAACCATGATGGAATACTACATTCAAGTGAAGGTAAGGGTAATAGGATAGTTTCGAGATCATAATAAGTTTGGTTATTGGTCTAGGGTAAAGTGTTTCATGGTCTGATCTTAGATCTTTAACCCATTTTGGATGTGTTAAAGGTTTAGAAATTATGAAAGGAGCATATGTGAAGGTCAATAAATTAGTCGGGAAATATTTTTTGAAAATGATTTAACATAAATTGGAAGCCAACCACCAAGATGTCCCTTGAAAAAAAAATTACTTTAGACTTTAATTAATTTTTCTTGTAGTCCCGGAGTGGATGTTGGGAATCTGAACTTCATCCGAGGATGATCTAAAATATTCTTTGGGTCACTCCCTAGTTTCCTGAATGGAGCAAGAAGGATGTCAAAATCCTTTTTATTCGATAAAATTTAAGATAGGCTTTGTATTTGGTATTGTTGGCCTTAAATGCTTGAGGATGTTAAGATGCTAGTTGAACACCCTCGAGCGGATAAAAGGAGGTGGGATTTGAAGATGGAGGTAGTAGAGACTCGAAGATCGACACCAACCATATCTAGATGAACCATAAAGGTCTTGAAATGTTCCCACCAGGTTAATGAGATCACAAAGCATCTATAGCCTCAACGAAAGATGTATATACATGGACTAGGAGGAGTTTGGCTAGATAGATGAAAAGGAAGCCATTGTTAAAGAGGTAAGCAAGGTTGAAGTATTGATGGGAAATGTGGATTTAGTGGGGCCTAAAAAACCTAAATGTAAAGTCAATACACTAGGAAGGCTTTATGCTCCTTAGTAGTAATAGCGACAGTGGAGTCATCAATGAAATGCTCAATTAGAAAATGATCATATGCTTTTCTTTTCCATCGAATCCTGGCCTTAAGCTCGTCGTCAGATGGGAAGGTAGTCAAGAAATAGGTCTTTCCAACAGGTTTGGACTTGTAATGGTAGCTACGTCAAGGAGAGTGAAGGCTACTGGACCGCATGGCAGCTCCAATGCGTTGAGGTTTTTATTCCACAATTGGAGGACTAGCAAGAAAATAGACATATCAAGGTGTGATATGTTGTAACAAGAGAGTTGGAAGAGGTTGAAAATCCCAATTTTTATCCAATGATCATCGAAAGTGGCGCTAACCCTATCGAGCCACTTGAAACATGAGGGTTTGTTATGGGCAGGACCAGTTCTATAAACCTTCAAGGATAAAATGATGAAATCAGTTTGAACCTCTTCTTCTTGAATGATAGAATTTCCTTGGAAGAAGGGAAATAAGAGATTAAATCTAAAGGGGAGGTGCTTAATGAACCCTAAAAAACATATGAAACTCTTTCTACAAAATAAAGGGATAAGTACCTGGGTTTCACAAATTCTTTTGGTTTCATCTTCTAGACCCAGTATAGGAGTAAATGTCTTGCCATTCAACTTGAAAGGTTGTGGGAATAACAACTAGGTCAGAAGCTTGAGAGTGAGCAATTAAGGAAATTTTTTTAGAAGAAGATGCTAATGTAGCGAAGGAATAAAAATACATGAAGATAGGGTTCTTTAATAGGTTGTAGAGAGCGTAACATATGTATGAAAGAGTAAAGAAATGAAGGAGAAAGAATGTTCTTTATAAAAGAAGTGGGTTGAGAATGTTGATTCCTAGGAAAAAATCAAACTCAAAGTAAATTGGGCCTAAGGTTTTCGTCCACAACTAGGGAAACAACGAATTGTAGATGATTACTTTGTGATGCATTTATTACAAAAATTTTATATTTATGAGGGGAAACGTAGGAAATGATAAAAGTATTATAGTAGTAGCCTTGCATAAGACTTTCTTCGAAGAAGACAAAAGGTTATAAAATGTTTGATCTCTTACTAAGAGAATGTTTGCCTACCACAATACATTTCACATTCTCTTTGAGGACATCTTGTTATATAGAAACTTTCAAATGAATCGAAAGAATGAGTAACAAAAATATCGAAATTGAAAGAGAAAACGTAAAGATCGAAACATTAAATATAAAAGAGGATCAAAATGATTAAATATTAAAGGCAGTAGAAAGATAAGATATCGAGTATTACAGATAGAAGAGGATCGAGGATGCAAGAATAGAGAAAATGAGAAAAATAGAAGAATCATATGGTAGGATAAAGTAAAGAATCGACGAAGACAAGAGATATATCGAAAGAGAGTTATAAATCGTGAAGGATATGGAACGATTATAACTTCATGATTTGATAGAAGTAGTTGTAAACATCAGGTGTACTAGTGTGACAATATGAGGGGGGCAAGAATTGTTAATTAGGAAAGCCTTTTTAAGTTTTCAATTTTATTTTTAATCAATTAAAAAAATAATAAATATAAATAAGATCAAATAAGTGTGACAAATTGTATTAATAAACTTGATTTTTTGGTACCAGTTTTTGTTTTGTCCTTACTAGATTATGTTTTCCAACAATTTACATTTCTGCATTTTATATTTTCTTCTTTTAATTTTAATTTTGAGCACCTAATATTTTATCATGTTAGTTGAATGCATGATTGATATAATTAAATATCATGTTAGTTGAATGCATATTTGATATAATTAAATATTTATAAAATTAATGATTATTCAATAAGTGATTCACCAACTCTTGATAATGATTTTAAATTCTATGATAAAATAAAAATGTTTTATCATCATGTTTTCCAATTTTACTCAAAATAATAATAATAAAAATTTAGATGTTCTAATAGAATAAATTCTTGTTTTTCATAATTTTTTTTACTCTGCAACATCAATTCCACTATTATAATATGAAGAAAGAAATATTTTTTCTTAAATAATTCATTATAGATTAACTTATTAAAGTTTACTAATTATATCATACCCTAAAATAATTTATAATTCAAGAAATAAAAGAATATGTTATATTTTTTTCTAATGATTATTGAAAATAAAATGTGTATTTAATTCATTTTATCAGTGTTATTATATATCTAACTTAATTAATATATTAATTGGATTAATATATTATATTTTTAATATTGAATTTATGAATTCACGTCTAAGCGAATATTCTAATATATGTTAAATTATCGAATTTGAATATAATTAATTAATTAGTTTTATATGAAGTATTATAAATTATCCACTAAATAAACATGAAATAATATATTAAAAATATTTAAAGGTTTTAAATTGAGAAAAAAATATTATTAGGATTTGAATTAAGGATTGTGATAGATTCATGCCCAAAACATCCATCAACAACTAGAAATATTAATATAATCATAAGTAATTGTAGTTTGGTTATATAGGAATAATGGGTGGTCAAATAAACATTCTCCTTGATTAAAATCATCTAGCAAGATTTATATTTGTTAATTATAGAAAAAAATAGAAAATTGTTGTGTAACATTATTAAGTAAAATAAAAGATACGGAGATTTTTATTTTTATTGATTATCTATTATACTATAAATTATTTTGGGATTACATATTAAATACTTAATTATCTCTTTTCTCTTCGATTTCTCTCATAATTTATAAGTCAAAATTATTAATAATAAATATTAGTTTTAATGTGAATATGTATAAAATTATCACGTAATTTTGTATTTATTTTGAACGTTTAAAGAACTAATATTCAATTTTATGCATTATTTGACATAATATAAATCTTTATATTTTACTGTGTTATAACTATCATTAAATTTAGATATACAATATTTTACGATTGTTTTTATTTTTTTTAATTTTATAATAATAAAAATTACAAAGATTATTTGTAAAATATCAATTTGTTTCAAATTTTATGTTAAATTAAAATGAAATAAAATTTAATTTTTATATGTAATTTGAATAATTATTTAATAAAAAATCAAATTGTATGTAGATTTTATATTTAGCTAGGATGATTATTAAATAAAATCGAAACCCTTATGTATAACTATCTAGATTTAATTCATTTAATCTTTAGATGATTATTCAGTGAAAACCGAACCCTATTCACCTTAGTCTAGCTCCAAAGTATGATAGTGAAAAGCCACCAGGATCATTGACCTTATCATGTTTATGCTGCAGATTAACATTTAAAAAAAATAGTAATTCTATATTTCGACAAACTTTATCCGTTAATCCTTACACTTGAAAATAATTCCTTTTAGTCCGTGTAACTGAGACAGTAAAGACTAAAAAAGATTAAAAATGATACGTATAATGATTATATGAGACTGATATGGTACAAATACAAATACTAAATGAGTAAGCATATATCATCTCTGCGGACTCGAGTGATATTGAACACAAATCTACATGTTTGACGATAGGTTGATGAGTCAGTACTGTGACAATCTCATAGCAAACATGATTCTAAGTTCCAACAATGGGGAATAGAACAAATCTACCATAAAATTAATAGCTCCTTCCTCTATTTGTTCATACATTAATCCTGCTTCTACTTTGTTCTGGGAAGCAGTTGCATGGTAGCAGAATTTAACTCAGTTTTTGAAGTTTCACGTTACCATATTGGCTGAATATCAGTAAATTGTTTGAGCCATGAGCATGTAACAAAGCTCAACCATCCACTGTGCATCTGGGAGAGCTATGTGCAGGCTAAACTGTTTCTGGTTCTTAAGGGCCCCAACTCTGATACCACTCAACCTTTAGCACTGACTAGAGGAAGGGAACCATTTCGACAAGCAATAATGTTTGATTTCTACAATCAGCTTAAACAGGCCATAACATGGAATATGTAACAATGCAATCAACAAGTACCTACAGGTCATATAAAACATATTGGATTAGACATTCATGGGGAAAAGGGGAAACAGAATGACACAAATAATCCTGGATGGATATCGTGGTACTGATGCTATGTGTTGCTAGTAAGCACGAGGAAATTAGAACAATATAACCAGTTCCAACTGTATATCAATGGAATCTCCTTCAGAACTGAAGTGATTCAGAACTGGTACCAGAAATTACAATAAGAACAATGCAGAGATATGAAATAAAATTCAAGAGTGCCCGATACTCTTCCAAGCCTCAATTATCCAACCCACCTTTTCTCACCTAAACCTTCTCTCTCTCCAAACAAACAACTTGGGCAAACCCTACCTCCAACTGTCACGAAGGCAGTTATTTCGTTATAACATTTTCTATTAGGTACGAGTCTTGGGCTAAAACTAACTACCTTACTGTCGCTCCTTATATATACAAGAATTGTTGTCTTGTAAAAAGGGGTAGAAAAATACTGGTCGTAATACTTTCTCTCTCTTAATCCAATAAGACTTGTGAATCCATTCTCTTTCCTGAATCTTCATGTATCTCTACACCTAGACTGCTTCTTCTCCCTCCTCTGTTTTCCCTCTCTGCGCTGGCTTTTCCGATTATTACCGTTCTATACGTTTGCCTTATCATATTTAAGTATTTATCACTCCTGATTTTCATCTGTGCATCGCCATTCTTTTGCTTCCTAACCTATTTATCTTGTCCTCTTATACCTAAGAGACATAACAACCTACCCTTACACCTACTAATTACAATCTTAACCTTTTTCTATTTTTTTTCTGCTAACTTATCACTGTTGTCTCTATTATGTCTAACACATTCTCTCCAAACTGGTCACTTCTTATTGCAATTCTTAAGTACATTTTACAGAAAAACTCCATAATAAACCTTACATAAGAATAAATAAGCTATCACCAAGATATACACCCGCGAAACAAACAAAAGAAACAACAATTCTATCAAAGAATGCAAAACACTCAACCCTTACAACCCATCCTAAGAGTATAAAGTCAAGGGATGCAAATCAAGGGGCATAACCCTTGGAATAGAAATCAAGGGATGCAAATCAAGGGACATAACCCTTGGAATAGAAATACAACCATTAGGAAAAATGGTATCAATTAGGAAGGGTTGTTAGAAGCAATATAAATAGAAGTAATCCAGATTAGAAAACACAAAAGAAATTAGGAAGGAATTATATTGTGGAGAGACAAGCTCTCAAAAACCTGTTATAAAAATATCTCAAAATTATCTTTATAAATTCTATTTATTTTATTAATCTTGTCCAGTTCTTTCCTGTCCATATCAATTTGGTATCAGAGCATCGATCAGGTGCTTTGCTTATCAATTTGGTATCAGAGCATCGATCAGGTGCTTTGCTTCCAACAATGATGACAACTCATTCTAATTCTGATAATTACAACACAATGGAGAGAATTTTGGAGATGCTAATGGTGGACCGACAAAACCGAGATGCAAAACGACAATAACTTGAAACATGTTTTGCACGAATAGAAGCCATGGTAGAAAATTTGTCCACGCATTCAAAAAATGGCTCACCTAAAGGTTCCGTCAATTGAGAAGAAATATCCAAGAACCATGCCGGGGAAGGAAAAATAGAACAATTGAGAAAATTGAAAATCCCCGTATATGATGGAGAATCTGATGCCTATAGATGGATAAATAAATTAGAATGTTTCTTTCAAATGAGAGATGTAATAGAAGAAGAGAAAAGTCAAGCAGTTATGGTGGCCCCAAATGGAAAGGCGCTATCTTAGTTCCAATGGTGGAAATCTTGCAACTCTAATATTGGATAGAGAGAATTCAAAATTGTCATTCTTGAAAGATTCCAAACTTCAGTCACTTCTAACCCTTTTGCTACCCTCCTTGCACTTAAACAAAAAGAAAAGATAGAAGAATAAGTTGAACAATTCAAAAGGTTTGTAGGTCTGTTACAAAATGTTGGTGCAACATTTACTGGACATTTTTGTGAACGAATTAAAGGAAGACATTGGGGTAGAAATTAAACTCTATGACCCCCCCTTTATCAATCATGGTCAAGAAGGCATCAATGATTAAGTAGAAAACAGAGCAATTTAGAAGGTGGGAACAAATATTGCTTCAAACTCAATCTCAAAATGTAACACCTCTTACCGAAGTCCATATGAAGATGGTTACTTATGGTGTTAGTCAGAACGGTGGAGAAAATAGTAAAAGCCTGTCTAGTTCTATTGCTAGCAGTGCATCTGTGAACAAACCCAAAAACAATAACCGACTTAAAAGTTTTTAATGATTAACCAAAGTAGAGCTTGATGAAAAAAGAAAAAAAGGAGAATGTTTTCGCTGTGAAGAAAAATGGACCACCTCTAATGTGTGCAGGAATAAACAACTTTGGATAATGTTAGTAACAAATGAAGATGACGATGAAAACTCCAAAAAGGAACCTGAACCAGAAATTAAGAAACACCCCAATTATCCATTAATAGTATTGTGGGATTTACTTCTCGCAATCCTTAAAAGTTTAGGGATATATTGATGATCACAAAGTCATAGTATTAATAGATTGTCGCCACCCATAACTTCATTTTCAAGGAACTAGTGGAAAAACTACAATTAAAAGTGGATGACACTCCGTCATATGTGGTCAAAGTTGGAGACGGTTACAAAATCAAATACAAGGGAGTATGTAAAGAAGTTCCCTTGAAAGTGCAAGAAGTATAGGTACAATAACAATTCTTCTTTTTTGGCCTCGGAGACATATATGTGATTTTAGGAATGAAATGGTAAGCAAGCTTGTGAGCCAACTTTGAACAACTAACATTGGTCATCAAGATTGATGGCAGAAAGGTGATTTAAAGGGAGAGTCTGAACTTTTAAAGATAGATGTCTCATTTAATACTATGTTAAAACCTTTGTATTAAGAAAAATGGTTCCTTATTAATTATCATCATATTTAAATAGAAAGAGATTGGAAAATTTAATTCCTTCATAATTAAAAGATGTGTTGGATGATTTGCCCTCTATCTTTGAGCCTCTAGAAGGGCTTCCTCCTCAATGGTGTTAAGGAGGAGCCAAAATACCGAATATTAGACCATATAGGTATCCTCACTATCGGAAAAAAGAGATTGAAAAATTGGTTATTGAAATGTTAGAAGCAGGAATCATTAGACCATTTACAATTCCTTATTCCAATTCTATCATACTAGTCAGAAAGAAAAACGGTAGTTGGCAGTTTTACGTAGACTACCAAGCCTTAAACAAAATCACAACTCCTGACAAATTTCTCATCCCAGTAATTGAAGAGTTGTTAGACGAAATAGGAGGGGCTCATGTATTTTCAAAACTGGATTTAAGATCAGGATATCATCAAATCATGATGAACGAAGATGTCATTGCAAAAACCTTTTTCTGCACACATGAAAACCACTATGAATTTTTGGTACTTCTATTTGGATTCACTAATGCACCTTCCTCTTTTAAATCATTAATAAATGATGTTTTGAGCCAATACTCTAGAAATACGCTTTAGTATTCTTCGATGTTATCCTAATATACAACCCTTCCATCAAAGAACACAAACAACACCCACAAAATTTATTGACATTACTGCAACAAAATAAATTGAAGATCAATGGCATGAAATGCTCATTCGGCCAAGCAAATTTGGAATATCTAAGACATGTTATTTCTACTAGAGGAGTAGTCGCAGAATCATAAGAAGTTGGATGCAATAACACTATGGCAAGAATGTTGTCACCAACTTAAGGGCATTCTTAGGTCTTACTGCCTATTATAGGAGGTTTGTTCATAATTATGAAAGAATAGTAAGACCATTAACCAACCTGCTAAAGAAAAATGTCTTCCAATGGAATCTAGAGGTACAAATTGCCTTCGAAAAACTTAAACAAACCATGACCAGATTACCTACATTAGTAGTTCCTGACTTTTCAAAGTCTTTTGTGGTTGAAGCTGATGCTTGCAGAACCGGATTAGGGATTTTTCTAATGCAAGAAGGAAGACCCTTAGCCTTCTGGAGCACTACCCTATCTGAAATAAACCAGAGGAAATCAGAATATGATAGCGAAATGATGGAAGTCGTGAAAGTAGTCCAGAATTGATGGAAGTCGTGAAAGTAGTCCAAAAATGGCAGCACTACTAGTTGGGAAGCCATTTTATTATTAAAACTGACCAAAAAAGTTTGAAATTTTTGACAAATCAGAGGATACTTGACAAGGAACAATACAAATGGATTTCTAAATTGGCAGGATACGATTTTGAAATACAGTACAAACTAGGAAAATAAAACTTTACTACTAATGCGCTTTCTAGGAGAAGTTCCTATTATGCCATGTCAGTCTTACAAATTCATGATTTCGAGGAATGGGCCGAAGAGATCAAACAAGATGACAAATTACAAAAAATCATACTAGACCTAATTATTGATCACACTTCTCATATGGGTTATACTTTGAGGGATCAAAAGTTATTTTACATGGAGAAATTGGTGTTATCCAAGTCTTCCTCTCGAATTTCAATTATTTTAAAAGAACTTCATTCTCTAGAAAATTAGATTAAATGAAATCTTATTTTATTATTTTAATACAAAGATATCATACAAGATATATACAAGAGACTTAAACTATTTTAAGAAATAAAATAACTCTATTTTATTCTAAGATCCCTTGATTTATGGGATTGCTCCTAATTGTTCAAATCTGTACAAATTACAAATTTCCTAATTTATTTTTTCCTAAAATACTATTTGATTTCCTACACTCCCCCTCAAGCTGGTGAATAGATGTTTTCCATTCCCAGCTTGGATACAATCTTCTCAAAATTGTGGCAGCTCAGTCCCTTAGTAAGGATGTCTGCAATTTGGTCTTGAGAGGACACATATTGAGTGCATATCAAGCCACTATCAAGCTTTTCTTTGATGAAGTGTCTGTCTACTTCAATATGCTTTATTCTATCATGCTACATTGAGTTGTGGGCTATGCTGATTGCTGACTTATTATCACAATAAAGCTTCATAGGTTTTTCCCATTTTATTCTCAAGTCTTCTAAGATGATTTTAAGTCATAGCAACTCACATATACCTTGTGCCATGGCTCGAAATTCCACTTCAGCACTGGACCGAGCCACTACACCCTGCTTTTTGCTTCTCCAAGTCACAAGATT